ATTTCATTTACCTGCAAGTAATGTACCAAAACGCTTCGAAACAATCTGTTATTTTCTAAAATAGCTGAACATACATTTTATCTTGTCTGCACTTTTTTGCTAAGAAACTTTGCAACTTTTGATGCATAGACAATATTCATTTTTGAAAGTATACAGTAAGTTGGGCGCAGTAGCTCATGCCTATAATCCCAGCACTTTGGGAGACCGAGGTGAGAGAACTGCCTGAGCCCAGGGGTTCGAGACCAGCCTGGGAAACTTGGTGAAACCCCATCTCTACAATAAATCAAAAAATTAGCCAGACATCATGGTGGCGTGCACCTGTGGTTCCAGCTACTTGGATGACTGAGGCAGGAGGATCACCTGAGCCCAGCAGGTCGAGGCTGTGGTGACTGTAAGCATGCCACTGCACTCCAGCTTGGGTGACAGAGTGAGACTCCTACTCAAAAAAAAAAAGTAAGCTTCCGGGCTCAGTGGCTCAGCCTGTAATCCTGCGCCTTTGGGAGGCTGAGGTGAGTGGATTGCCTGAGCCGGCGGGTTCGAGACCCACCTGGGCAGCGAGATCTCATCTCTACAATAAATCTAAAAATTAGCCGGGCGTGGTAGTGCATGCCTGTAATTCCGGCTACTCGGAAGGCTGAGGCGGAAGGATCGCCAGAGCCCAGCAGGTCGAGGCTGCGGTGGCCGGGAGCGGCCACTGCACTCCAGTCTGGGCGACTGAGTGAGACTCCAACTAAAACAAACAAACAAACAAAAAAAAGTATACCGTTTATGACTGAGAGAATCAAATGTTGGTAAGGATGTTGACAATGAAAGCTCTCATACACTATTAGGAGTGTAAATTGGCTTTAAATGCTCTTGAAAAGCAGTTTGTTGATTCCGGGTGAATGGAGATATTGCCTCATCAATTTTATTTCTTAAGTGTATACCCTAGATAAACTGGCAGATATACATTAGGGGACAGGTGCAAGAATGTTTATCCTAGCATTGTTTGAATATTGAAAAACTGAGCACTTGATATCTCACACTTGTAATCCCAGCACTCTGGGTAGTTGAGGTGGGAGGATTACTTGAGGCCAGGGGTTTGAGACCTGGGCAATATAGCAAGACCCCATCTCTACGTTAAATCAAAACAAAAAAGTGTGTGTATGTATGAACAACCGAAAACAATCTCAGTATTCTTTAATAACTGAAAAATAATTGAATTAATTATAGATGATACAGAATACTGTCCAGACATTAAAATGAATGAACTAGATCTATCAAGCAACTAAGCTAGATTTCAACAATATGGAAGTTTAAAAAGTCATGTAGAGACTGGGTGAGGTGGCTCAAGTCTGTAATCTCAGCACTTTGGGAGGCTGAGGTGAGAGGACTGCTTAAACTCAAGGGGGTTTGAGATTAGCCTGGACAACTTGATGACACCTCATCTCTACAATAAAAAAAAAAAAAGTTGGGTGTGGTGGCATTCACCTGTAATTCCAGCTACTCGGAAAACTGAGGCAGAAGAATCACCTGAGCCCAGCAGGTCAAGGGTGCAGTGGCTGTGAGCATGCTGCTGCACTCCAGCCTGGGCGACAGAGTGAGGCTCCAACTGAAAAAATAAAATAAAAAGTCTTGTAAATATAGATAGGAACAATAGAAAACCATGTGCCAGAAATACATCCACTGAAATTATGATTTCTCAGAAGGGAAAGGGCGTGGAAATGAGAGTAGGCACAAGCAAAGAGCTTCTGTTATATCTGTGACACTGTACTCACTGTTATGTCTGTGACATCATAATCGCTTTGTTTTGTTTATTTTTTCATATAATATTATTTATTTTGGTTTTGTGGGGTACAGTTAAGGGTTAGGAGTACAATTAATTTTCATTCAGGCACCCTGTTGATAATGTTTTATTTATTTACTGTTTGTTTTTTTTTTTTGAGTTGAGGTCTCACTCTTTTTTATTTTTTGTGCTGGAGTCTCACTCCGTCACCCAGACTGGAGTGCAGTGGTCGCTCCTGGCCACCGCAGCCTCGACCTGTTGGGCTCTGGCGATCCTTCCATCTCAGCCTTCCAAGTAGCTGGAACTACAGGCACGCGCTACCACGCCCAGCTAATTTTTGATTTATTGTAGAGACGAGGTCTTGCCAAGTTGCCCGGGCGGGTCTCGAACCTGCGGGCTCAGGCAAGCCACTTGCCTGGCCTCCCAGAGTGCTGGGATTACAGGCTAAGCCAGCCAAGCCCGGATGAGGTCTCGCTCTCTGTTCCCCAGACTGGATTGCAGTGACACGATCATGGCCACTGCAACCTCCACCTGCTGGGCTCAGATGATCTTTCTGCCTCAGCTTCCCTAGTAGCTGGAATTATAGGTGCATGCCACCGCGCCCCGCTAATTTTTTTTTGAGTTGGAGTCTCACTCTGTCGCCCAGACTGGAGTGCCGTGGCCGCTCCCGGCCACCACAGCCTTGACCTGCTGGGCTCCGGCGATCCCTCCGCCTCAGCCTTCCAAGTAGCCGGAATTACAGGCATGCGCTACCACGCCCGGCTGATTTTTTTATTTATTGTAGAGATGAGGTCTTGCTGCCCAAGCGGGTCTCGAACCCGCAGGCTCAGGCAATCCACTCACCTCAGCCTTCCAAAGGCGCGGGATTACCGGCTGAGCCACTGAGCCTGGCCTAATTTTTATTTTAAGATTTTTTTTTTTAATTGTAGAGATAAGATCTTGCCACATTGTCCAGGCTGATCTCAAACTACTTTGGTCAGGCAATCCTCTTGCCTCGTCCTCTCAAAGTGCTGGGATTACAGGTGTAAGCCACTGCACCTAGCTCACCTTGTTTTTAAAATTTTAAAGCATGCCGGGCTTGGTGGCTCAACCTGTAATCCCACCACTTTGGGAGACTGAGGCAAGTGGATTGCCTAAGCCTGCGGGTTCGAGATCCACTTGGACAACTTGGCAAGACCTTGTCTCTACAATAAATCAAAAATTAGCTGGGCATGGTAGCACGCACCTGTAGTTCTGAATACTTGGAAGGCTGAGGCGGAAGGATTGCTGGAGCCCAGCAGGTTGAGACTGTGGTGACTGGGCAACAGAGTGAGACTCCAACTAAAAAAAAATAATAATAAAAATTTTTAAAACAAATGTAACATTGTTATCAATATTCTTGTTACTCAGCCAGGCTCAGTGGCTCAACCTGTAATCCCGCGCCTTTGGGAGGCTGAGGTGAGTGGATTGCCTGAGCCTGTGGGTTCGAGACCCGCCTGGGCAGTGAGACCTCATTTCTACAATAAATCAAAAAATCAGCCGGGTCTGGTATCGCATGCCTGTAATTCCGGCTACTTGGAAGGCTGAGGCGGAAGGATCACCAGAGCCCAGCAGGTCGGGGCTGCGGTGGCTGGGAGTGGCCACTGCACTCCAGTCTGGGCAACAGAGTGAGACTCCAACTCAAAAAAAAAAAAAAAAAATATATATATATATATATATATATTCTTGTTACTCAGATTACAAATGCTGCTACTATACTACTTTCTGTAATTTTTCCCTTTCTTCAAATAAAAAATATATACATGTAAACAGATACTTTATTGAAAACAGGAAGGTGAGCATCCAAATAATTTGAGTTGACATGCAAAAAACTCTTAATAATTTGTGTGTCGTTACCAGATACTTATGAGTACTTACTCTTTTGTTTTGTTTTGTTTTGAGTTGGAGTCTCACTCTGTCACCCAGACTGGAGTGCAGTGGCCGCTCCCGGCCACCGCAGCCTCGACCTGCTGTGCTCTGGCGATCCTTCCGCCTCAGCCTTCCAAGTAGCTGGAATTACAGGCGCACGCTGCCATGCCCGGCAGTTTTTTGATTTATTGTAGAGATGAGGTCTCGCCAAGTTGCCAAGGCGGGTCTCGAACCCGCGGGCTCAGGCAATCCACTCACCTCAGCCTCCCAAAGTGCTGGGATTACAGGCTGAGCCACCGAGCCTGACTATGAGCACTTACTCTTAACCAGGCACAGGGTAAAGTATTGATGATACTGTAATAAAGAAATTGCACTGTCCAAGGACTGACTCTAGTTAGTGATTTACAGAAGTACTCTATACACACTTTGATTATGCTGAATATTTAGATCCTTTTTAAGCTTAACTTGGATCAGGAATTAATGTCTTAAACCAGTTGATTGTTCCAAAGAAAGTAGAAATGTATTAATAAATGCCACACTTGTAATCTCATGCACCAGTTCTCATGATGTAATCAGTTGTCAAATAAAAAACTTACTCTAGAAAAGAGACGCCCAACAGTGAACACATTACATCAGATTTGAATATTAGATTGAACAGTGCTTTTTTCTCACAGTTACTGAAATCATTTTATATTTTTCCAAAATACATGTAAATATATTCAGAATTTCCTAAATGTCTTTCCCTAGTTCAGCATTTCAGTGGTTATAAGCATCAATATCATAGATTATAAGCAAAAAAGAACTCAGCCCTAAAATGTTGAGAAACAGTGGGACTGTATTCCACCTCCCTTGGACATACATAAACACACTATGGTAATAAAAGCACTGAGAAGTGACCGTGCACGGTGGCTCAGCCTGTAATTCCAGCACTTTGGGAGGCTGAGGTGAGAGCGTTGTCTGAGCTGGGAATTCGAGGTCACCCTGGGCAACTTAGCGAGACCTGGTCTCTACAATAAATCACAAAAAAAACTAGCCAGGGTGGGTGGCTTGCATCTGTAGTTCCAGCAACTTGGAAGGCTGAGGCGGAAGGATCGCCTAAGCCCAGGAGATCGAGGCTGTGGTGGCCATGAGCGTCCCACTGCACTCCAGCCTAGGCGACAAAGAGTGAGACTCCACAACTCAAAAAAAAAAAAAGTTCTAAGAAGTTATATTGTAATGTTTTTCAGACTTCATTATCTCGAGTCTATTTTTTTATGTATTATCTGTCAGCAGTATGCTTTGAGATGTTTACTGTACTCTTCATACTTGTGCTGTATACAAATAATTATTTCTATTTTAAAGCAGGACAAAAGGATCAAGCTGTGGAATGGTATAAGAAAGGTATTGAAGAACTAGAAAAAGGAATTGCTGTCATAGTTACAGGACAAGGTAAGCTTATATTTATATTTGTTTAGAGCCATTTCAGATCTTATTCACATGATTGCCCTGATTTCAGGCCAATTTATCTTAATAAAGGCGTTTAAACTTATAGTTAATTCTTTCTATTATATCCTAAAAGTGAATTAATCAGATATGCTCAAACTTGATTACCTGTGGCAGTTGGGCAGCATCTAGTACATTATTTGTGTCCTCCTTGGAGCTACTGCTGGTGTTCAGCCACGATGTGCTGTTTTTGAAATCTGATCTTTTCCTCATTGTCGAGGAGGGAAGGAGTGGTTGATGCACAAACTTCTTTGCGCTTCTAGGCAATCCTTCTCGACTGCATGTTAGATAGCATCTTAGAGTTGTGAATGTCTTACTCACACTTGACTTTTTAAAACCAAAACAGTCATTTCTCATCTTTACTCTTCTGTACCTAATTAAAAAATTAGAGTCTAATATTATCTTTGGATATTTTGGGCACATGGCTAGGCGTGGTGGCTCAAGCCTATAATCTCAGCACTCTGGGAGGCCAAGGCAAGTGGATTGCCTGAGCCTGCAAGTTCAAGACCAGCCTAGGCAACATGGTGAGACCTTGTCTCTACAATAAATCAAAAAATTGGCTGGGCGTAGTAGCGCACGCCTGTAGTTCCAACTACTTGTAAGGCTGAGGCAGAATGATCGCCTGAGCCTAGCAGGTCGAGGCTGCGGTGACCGGAAGCGTGTCACTGCACTCCAGCCTGGGCAACAGAATGAGATTCCAACTCAAAAAAAAAAAAAAAAAGATATATTGGGCAGGGTGGTTCATGCCAGTGCTTTGGGAGGGAGAGGCACGAGGATTACTTGATGTCAGGAGTTCAAGATCAGCTTGGACAACATAATGGAGCCCTGTCTTTATAAAAAAACAAACTTATATAGCATTTCTTATACACTTACTATATGCCCAAGTATCATTGTAAGTGCTTTATGTGTTTTATTTCTTTTTAATTTTCATCACTATCCCATGCCCTGTTGCTGTTGTTGTTATCCTTATTTTTCAGATGAATAGTCTGAAGTTAGAGAAATTAAGTAACTTACCTAAGGTCTCATAGTTAGCAAGTGGTGGAATCGGAATTCAGACTCAGGTAGACTGAGTTCAGAGCCTGAATTCTAAATACTGTACTGTGAATATTGTGTATTGTGTATAGGTAAAATACTTCCTTTTTTCATAGCTGAAATAAATTTGTACATTATGGTATTTAGGTAAGAATTGGTGCATCCAGTAGATGTTTTTTGGCTGACTGGCTGACTCTACTAGTCAGCTAGTCTTGTTTGTTTGTTTGTTTTTGAATTGGAGTATCACTCTGTCACCCAGACTGGAGTACAGTGGCTGCTCCCGGCCACTGCAGCCTCGACTTGCTGGGCTCCAGCGATCTTTCCACCTCAACCTTCCAAGTAGCTGGAACTACAGGCGCGCACTACCACGCCCGGCTAATTTTTTATTTATTGTAGAGATGAGGTATCTCCAAAGTTGCCCAGGTGGGTCTCAAACCCACGGGCTAAGGCAATCCACTCACCTCAGCCTCCCAAAGCTCTGAGATTACAGGCTGAGCCACTGAGCCCGGCTAATTTTTTGGTTTTTATTGTAGACATGAGGTCTTGCCAAGTTGCCCAGGCTGGTCTCAAACCCATGGGCCCAGGCAGTACTCTCACCCCAGCCTCCCAAAGTGCTGGGATTATAGGCTAGTCTTCAATAATTACAGTGTGTCTGGTATTTACCTGCTTTTTTCCTCTCCTCTTTGTATTTTGATTGTTTCTCTAGCTACTGGTCTCCTGTATAAAAGAAAGCAAAATAGAAGCAATCATGGGAGGTTGGGCCTTTGAGACTTTGATGAGCATGACTTTATGAATTATGTGCAAAATACATTTGCCATTCTCTGTCAACTAGATGGAAGAAAAGTTGGAGGACTGTGAATCGGTTATAAAAAAACAATATTTCATTGAATAAAAAAGCCTTCTATTATATCTCTAAGACAAAAAAAAATCAATTAAAGTATGATACATACTTTTCTTATCACTTAGAATTTGGATTTTACCAGCCTGGGCAACATAGCAAGACCTCATGTCTACAAAAACAAACAAACAAAGAATTAGCTGGGCATGGTGGTGAATGCCTATAGTCCCAGCTACTAAGGAGGCTGAGGTGGAACGATCATCTGAGCTGAGGAAGTTGAGGATATGGTGAGCCTTGATGGTGCCACTGCACTTCAGACCGGGCAACAGAGTGAGACCCTGACTCAAAAAAAAAATTTTTTTTTGACTTTGAGTTTTATTAAAGAGGATGTTTTAGTGTTATTTAGACATGAGGATATAACAGCAGTGTTAATATCTATGACCAAATTTGTACATGCACAGGCAATGAAAAGCTAGTTGTAGCCGGCTCGGTGGCTTAGCCTGTAATCTCGCGCCTTTGGGAGGCTGAGGTGAGTGGATTGCCTGAGCCCGCTGGTTCGAGACCCACCTGGGCAGCAAGATCTCATCTCTACAATAAATCAAAAAATTAGCTGGGCATGGTAGCGCATGCCTGTAATTCCGGCTACTTGGAAGGTTGAGGCGGAAGGATTGCTGGAACCCAGCAGGCGAGGCTGCGGTGGCCGGGAGCGGCCACTGCACTCCAGTCTGGGTGACCGAGTTAGACTCCAACTCAAAAACAAAAAACAAAAAACAGAAAAGCTAGTTGTGACTGTAGCCTGGCTGATAGTATTAGTAAGTTGATATTGATTATGAAATGAATCTCAATTTCAAAGATTTTGAAATGTGGGGAAGCCTGTAATCCCAGCACATTGTGAGGCGAAGGCAAGAGGATTATTTGAGCTTAGGGGTTTGAAACCAGCCTGGGCAACTTGGTGAGACTTCATCTCAACAATAAAAAAAAGAAATGTGGGGGAAAACTATTTCAACTCCATGAAATATACAAGAAATCCATGAAATACTGCAGTAGGTCAGAAACTATCATGGGGAACTTTTACCGATTTTTTTTCAGTGGCTGTTATTTGAAAATAATATTTTAGCTCTGTGACTCAGCCTGTAATCCCGCACTTTGGGAGGCTGAGGTGAGTGGATTTCCTGAGCCCACAGGTTTGAGACCCACCTGGGCAACTTGGTGAGACCTCATCTCTACAATAAATCAAAAAATTAGCCGAGTGTGGTAGCACGCACCTGTAGTTCCAGCTACTTGGAAGGCTGAGGCACAAGGATCGCCCGCACCCAGCTGGTGAGGCTGCGGTGACTGGGAGCAGCCGCTGCACTCCAGTCTGGGTGACAGAGTGAGACTCCAACTCAAAA